ACCAGATACTCAACCAAATTCTAACGCTGCAATAATTAAAAGTGTGCTTTGGTCCAGAGATGAACACATAGGTCAATAAAACAAAATTTAAAATTAGAAGTATATATATGTGAATTTATTATATATGGAGGAGGTTTTATAAAGCAATAAGAAAGATAAGGTTATTTAACAAACACTGTGTAAATTATAGATCAGTTTTTTTTTAAGGGAAAAAAGAATTATAGTATCAACCAACATATATACCAAAAATAGATCAAAGGTTAATTAAATGTAAAATGTATGTACAATATTTTTAATTTTCTAAAATAATTTCTATACACTAAATGGGAAATAAATTCCTATGCATAGAAATGACTGGGGGAAACACAAAGGAAAAGTAAACTCATTTAATTTCATCATTCAAGAAATATTTTTTAAACCTTACTATGCACCAGGTACTAGCAGCACATAAGTTGAATACATTGTATTTTTCTAAAAACCATGAAAAAATTTCAAATAATCAATGAGTAAAGACCTTTTCCATAATCAGTAATCTATTAAGACTCATAACAAGTAAATAATTCATGTAAATTTATAGAAAAGTATGAAGATACCATTAAATAAGTGAGAAAAATATAAATTAACAATTCAAGCAAAGAAAAAAATGTTCCATAAATGTTTGTTTAAAAAAATTTAAGTGTTATAAATTAGAATACATGATCATGTATAACTTACCAAATTCAAAATATAGGTAGGAGTGTAGAGAGCCAAGGCATTCAAATACTGCTCTGCAAATAAAATTAATGGAAAAAATCTCAATGCATGTTAAAAATTATTTAAAACATCATGTCTTGGGCTCTTCCTGGTGGCACAGCACTAAGAAGCTAAAACCACTTCGACCCCTTCAGGGGAGGTGATCCACATGGCGCAGCAGACCTCTCCTGACCCGATCACTGCTCCCCTCAGCAGTGTACTTAGCCAGCAGGCCTGTTCTGCTCCCCACTCTGTCTCTGGTGAAGCCTCTCACCGCCCCTGCACCCAACCTGGCCTGTACTCCAGTTCTGTCTGAATAAAGAAATAAATCTTTTTTAAAAAATCATGACTTTAGACATCTTCAGGAATCTATTCTTAATAGATAACCAGAAATGTTGACTGAGAGTTATATATAAAAATGTCTATTGTTTTTAAAAATAACTCGGGAAAGGGATATGATCTAACTTAAGAATAGATGAGCTTTAGATGAATAATAACACGTCTATGAAATAGAATGCTAATATGCTCATGTTAAAATATTTGCCTGTATCACATTCAATAGTTGATATTAAATAAATGATGTTTACCAGGAGCTTTCATATTACCTGTTTGCAATTAAGTGAAAAGAGTAAAACACCAAATTGTATAATCTCTAATGCTACAAAAAAATAGAATGATTAAAAAGGAAGCAAATCAAATATTTTTTTAGGATTTAAAATAATGAGTTTTTTGTTAAAATATTCTATCCATCCTAATTGTCTATTATGAGTACCAACAATAGAATCAGAAATTAGAGATACATATAAAATGGCAATATATTTTTTTAAAGATTTAATTATTCATACAGAACTGGGGTACAGGCCAGAGATGCGGAGGGTGAGAGGATTCACCAGAGACAGAGTGGGGTGTAGAATAGGCAGATTGACGAAGTACGCTGCTGAGGGGAGCAGCGGGTGGGCCAGGAGAGGTCTGCCGCGCCATGTGGAGCTCCTCCAGGGTAGGCGGGGATCGAACTCGTGCGGAAGTGGCTTAAACTTCTTTGTGCTGTGCTTTAACCTGCTGCGCCACCAGGGAGGGCCAAAATGGAGAAAATTTTAAAGAACAAAATAAGTATATCAATTATTTGTCTTACTAACATAACAACTTTAGTCCTTTCTAATTTCTAGTTATAATACTTTGTTATTATTTAGTCACCATTTTTGCCTTACTGGCATAGATTCATTATATTAATATCCCTAACAAGTCATAAAGAAAAGATAGGGGAAAGAACTTTCTCCAATGTCAGTAAAATAACATAAGCTCCTGGAAATTTATAACCCAAAATGTCATTGCCAGGCTGTATTTTTTTTAATATACCCATTATTTAATATACATCCTTCATTTTTGTACCATGTCTGGTTTCCCCGTGAAATTCCCACCCCCAATTCCCCCTTCACCATCACCATAGTCTCTTGTGCTCTTGCCACCCTTTCCTGGTGCTGCCAGATTGTATTTAAACTTGACTATAGGGATTATTTTCCCTAAGAAGTCAGCAATGTAATTTGTCCTATTTAAAGATGGTTAAATAAAATTATATCAACCTTATTATTGTTAAGCATTACCTCACAGACATATGTTTAATATATTTTAACAAAGCTTGTGCAATGGGAAGATTTTCCTCTGTGATCACCAATTTGTTCTTTGTCAATAATAGTAAAGCAGTGGTCCCTCATTTCAGAACACAGAAAACTCGCCAGGAAATAAAGAAAACTCATCCGTCAGATGTTCTAAAATTTGTCAATACTAATTTCACATCACAAAGTATATAGACTTGTGATTTCTCACTGCCATTCAGTATTCTGTCTAGGTAGATGTTGTTTCATTTCCTTTTCACTAACGTTGTGCTATAACCTTACATAAGTTTCAAATATTATATCATTGAGAATAACATGTGTGCATACTACATTAAGTTTGACCCTAAAACCTAGCCTACCCTCACCATATCATTGGGTGTTTAACCTTAAAATCAACTTTTCCTAGTGAAAGACAGATAATGAATGGTCTCACTTACTTAAAGAATATGAGTAACTAAACAAAACAAACTTGCAAAGCTGAATAATAGTAATTCATAGACTCTGAAAATATCTACTGACTACCCTAGGGCCTGTCAGGACAGGGAAAATAAAAGTAGCAAGGGAATCAGGGAAGGGAGGAGACAGGGCCTTGGCACAGGAGGCTTGGTAGAGGGTGAGAGATGTGCATATGAACATGTGAAAATGTTTACCCAGTATTATATTGGTATGTCTAAATGACAGACAAATTTAAAAACCTAATTCATGTGTAACGTCTTTCTGTCCTGAAACTTTACATAATAACATTTGCATAGAAAGGAAAATTGCCATGAGTGGGAATAGATAACTTGTAATAACCTATTTTTATATTGAACCACTTCAGTCTAGTATTTTGGTAGCATTATACTCAATGAGTAGGGAAAGGAAAGTGTTACCAGAAACCAAATTCTGCTAGACCTCTTGATGAATAAGAAGGCCTCCTCTTGGTTGAAATAAGAATAAAATTGACATGTCCACCGAATAAAGCAGAATAATTGCTGAATTAATTCCAACATTTCCCAATCTAATTAATTAATTAATCCCTATTGAACAGCAGAGACCAGCTTTATTTTTTCTAATTGCCACCTCCCTTTAAAGATTTGACCTAAGAGCTCTCGGTTGAGAGAATACAGAACCACCAAAAAATTTCACTCTCAGTCACACAACTCTTGCTTACACTCTTCCATTTTCTGGCTCATTCTCTACAAACAGTGATCACATAACCTTAAGCAAAGTGCTTGGCTGAGAGAAGCGTTGCTACCATTCAAATCAGGAGGGGAACCTTCCCTATTTGTTTTCTATGTTTGCTGAGAGTAAAACCGGGTGAGGGTGGCTGGGTGCACCCAAGATAACATTGAAATGTCCAGATGCATGGGTTTATTTCCTGGAGATCACTATGGGTCAGAGATTGGGGTGTGCGTGTGTGTGGGTGTGTGTCAGAGCCTTGAAATTGGATTTGGGAAGGTTCTGATTTAAATGTATCTGAACTCAAGGACCAGACACATGACCACAGGAAGGAGCAATTCAACCAACTTGCTGGCAAAATCAAATTGTGTAAACAAAATCCAAAGGCTGATTTCCTGCGATGTCTCTCTATTTTGTGATTATCTAATTATGAGCAGTTGTAGAGAAAATATTTCTGCAACACACAGAAGACAGTGTGGGAGATCTGACAGGACCACATTATCTGAAGTGTTCTAATTTCATTAGCACATGTTACAATAAGAGACCATGTCCTTCAGGGCTGAACAGTTTGCCCAAATCACCCATCATATTGCCCATTCCTGCCGGCTTTAGGAGTCTGAAGTTTCTCTGGGGCCCTGACCACCCAGCTTAGCTTAACCCAGCCAGCTCTAGTTTCTCCTGTAGTCTTGGTGGAACCTTCTATTCCTGCCATGTATTTGTGTGTGGTTCTGTGGCATGAGTGGAAGATTGAACAATGGAAATCAACAGTATGCCTTGCTTCTTTCAAGCCAGTTCCAATACCTGTGGAGCAGAAGCCTAGGAATTAACTTTCTGCTCTCAAAAATGGGGACAACTCTACATGCTTTGCCTCTCCACCTGGAAATAGAAAAGGAGCACTAGCCTAAGGTGTATCTGAACTGACCCCCACACCTTCCTACCACTATATATGGGTGGGAGGTCATAGGTGCACTTACCATTCCTGTAGGATCAAAATGGAAAGGTACAAGTAAATGGAAAAAATATTAAAGTATGATTTAAGACAGAGCTTCCAGAGGACCACTTGAAGTAAGTCAAGGTAGGGACCAGTGCCTAAGGGAAAGGCTGGTGGGTGGGGCTTCCCAGCGCTGTTGGCTATGTCTGCTTTTTCTCCAGAGGGTGGCCATGCTCTGGGTGGAGCCAGAGCTGGGATGGAGGAGGCTGACCAGGCCTCGGGGCAAAGTGTCCACTCAGGAAGAGCCTGCTCTCCAAATAGCTGGGCCTCGGCAGCTCAGCACAAGTGCCTCTTGGGGCCCCTTCCCTAACTAATGAAAAAATAATGCCCTTGAGCCTAGAGTGAAACTGAACTATCTAAGGAAAACACTGTGAGCAAACAGCCAGAGCTGAGGGAAACCATCTGATTAGGGCAGCTCCCCCTCAGGAGCGCGCTAGGCCCACGCCTTCTGCAGGAGCAAGGCGGCAGCTGGTTCTCCGGTGGCGGCCAGAGGGCCAAGGGCTATGGCCATCTCCACCACCACCTTCCAAGTAGTGGGCTTCCTCCTGTCAGTCCTGGGGCTGGCGGGCTGCATCGCCGCCACGGGGATGGACATGTGGAGCACCCAGGACCTGTACGACAACCCGGTCACCTCAGTGTTCCAGTATGAGGGGCTCTGGCGGAGCTGCGTGAGGCAGAGCTCGGGGTTCACCGAGTGTCGTCCCTACTTCACCATCCTGGGCCTTCCAGGTAGGTGCCCGGAGGCACCCTGCGGGGGCACAGACAGATGCGAGCAGGCAAGGGGCTCCCATTGTAGCCACATGTGACCTAGCAACCGCCACAGGGACTGAGCCGCACTCCCACCCCTGGGTGTGACGCTGGCAGGGTTGGCTCAGAACTAAAGGTGCTAGTCTTAGGAGAAAAAAAATCAAAATTCATACTGAAGATAAAGGAAATGCTAGAGAGGAAACAGATCCTGAGAATGGGACTACTGTAAGGCAAACTTATGCTAAACTGTCTGTATGGAGAAAATGAAGTGTATGCATGGATCTGTATGTGACATGTTTCTGCCTGCACACACGGGGGTAGAAAGTAGGATAGTGAATATTTTCTTACAGTCAAAAAAGGTTTTTTGAGCATAGTTTCCTTTCATTTCAGTTAATTTTTTTCTCTGAAAGGCTGTAGTCTCTGTAAGTGCCAAAATTATTTCCCTGAATTATAAATATAAGTTATTATATTTATAAATATAAAGTATAAATATAGTACAATTGTTATGTATATGTGTTACAAAATTATGATATGCATTCCAAAAAATCAACGTGTCAGAATATAATTGCAGAGTTATAATTATATAATAATGATTTCAGAATATACATCATTATAAATGTGACACCTTTTCACACCTGAAGATGAGATCAGATAAATCTCTATTTTTTAATGCAGATAATTACTTCAAGCATGCATCATAGGAATGTTGTGTTTGAATATTATGGAACTTCTGCTTGTATCTTCTGAAGGCCAAAAGAAAGGAATAAGATGAGCAAATTGGTGTTTCCAGGGGGTGGCCAAGATGTAAGGAAGGAAAAATGTTGTTGGGTTTTGTCTCTGCAACTAACATGAAACTGTTAAGACCTGTGGAGCCCTTGAAAGTGAGTTGTGAAAAGCAATTCAACTAATTGATCTTTAGAAAAAATTAGAAGATGGGTAACAGAGTAAAAAGAATCAGGTAATTGAGATACAACGCATGGATTGTTGTGTTGCTACTAAATGTGTACCTACTAAATGACTATTTAACTATAAAACTCATATTCAAAATTAAAGCATGATTTCATGTTCAGTAACCTCCTCCAAGGACTTCACCATATGTTACCAATCACTTGCACATTCTGTTTCTTTGCACACATGGGCTAGTAAATATCCCGACTCTCCCAAGTGGGTAACCGCTGGGGCTGCCACTCTCACTTGTGTTTTCTATTCTACCAAGCATCCCATCCTCCCTGAGCCTCCCAGAATCTCTCCCCTTAACAGTGTTACAGTCTTCAGAACAAGACTTCCTCCTCTCTCTTGTCCAAGGCTGTGAAATTCCACCAGGGCTCTGAAATTCCCACTCCACCATCTCTGATTATCCCTGCCAAATCAGCCCCTCTCCTTCCCACCTCTTTCCTCTCACCTCCTCACTTGTGCTCATGTAAGGAAAATCTCTCATGCTGATCACTGCCAAGTTATGTCTCTCCCAGGGTCACCATCAACCAAGTTGAAAGACTAAATTCTTCTACCACCTCTCACTTTAAACTTTTCTCAATTTGTTTTCTATCCTTCATCTCTAAAAGAGTGTGAGCTCCTTTGTGAATGGCAAAGATTTGGTGTGAAATCTCCCAATCACCAAATTCCAGCTCTTAATTCTAACTCCCTATAGGTATTTCAAACCCCAGCACCCTTCATGGTTCCACATTGGCATCTTAATGAGTGCAGGCACGACAGCCAGACACCTAGTACCCCCAACATCCCTCATCACCTTCCTTTGTCTTCACTATTCTTCTGGCCTTGATCAATGATTCTTATTTATTTATACTCAGAGCTTGGTTCTGGGTACCCATTTTCTCCACAGCACAACTACTTCCCCATCAACTCTCTGCAAATCCTCCCATTTAATTGATTAGAATCACAAAAAATCTCTGTACCAAACACTGATGGCATTGAGCTTATTCCCCATTAGTGACACTGCTCACAAATCTGAAACAGTAGCCATTGCATATGTACAGTTGTAAAGACAATGTTGGCCTAGTCAGCCCCTGTAAACACAACAGAAGGGCAGCCATACGCATCAATACCAAGGCCGAGGCAGAGGCAGCCCCAGAGAAGGCAGTAGCAATTCAACGGGAAGAGTCAGAAGGAGCAACACAGGAAAAGCTGCACTAGAGGCTCTATTTCAGACTCTACCTTTGCTTACTAACGTTGTTTATTTGTTAACATGTTTATCCTCCGCTTCTGTACTACAGACCCTTCAGCTAGATAGGAATTCTTCCCTCAATTCCCAGCATAGCACATACTGAGCATTCAGCAAATAGTTGGTGAACTAAGTTGAACTGAAAAGTAAGAATATGTCATTTTAAATGTTAATACAAGCCATTAAAAACAGATCAACAGTTTCCCCTAAAAAGAATGCCAATCGTGCATGGTAACTACCTGGTCCTCCACCTGCCTGAAACATTCATTTGGCCATCCAATTATGTATTTAGCAGAATTTTTTTTGCATGCCTTCTATGTTACAGGGACTAGAGTCTTCGGGATTATTTTAATCACAGTCTGTAATGTCAGCTGTGGCATCAGACAAGCCTAAAGATCTCAGTGGCTTCACAAAACAATAATTACTCCTTGCCCACATCAAGTCCATTATGGGAAAAGAGGCCTCTTCCTGCTGCAACAGAGGAAGAAAGGATTAGAGGCTGTCCTTAACAGCCTCAGCCTGAAAGTAGTGCATGGCACAGTTCTTTGGCCAGAAGTAGCTGCATGGCCCTGGGAACCAGGAGATCTAGGCCCTTGTGACTATCTGATGGGCAGCTATTGGCTCTGCCACAAGTATCATTTAAAAGGCAGCCACTGTCTGGCCTACAGTATATAGGCCGTGCTGGCCATGTGGACTTCAATTCTGCTCAACAGTCAATTCTTTGAACAGCAGTCGAGCCCAATGTGAATACAAAACAATATATACCACTGGCTATATTCATTTCTGAGACAAATGTTATTGACTACCTCTACATATAAAATATTATCAGACATAAGAATAAATAGTGTGCCTTTCAGAAGTCAGACATTTTGGGTAACCTGGATGGAAATGGGGATTGAGGTGAGTTTCTGCAATGTAAAAATTCCTTAGCACTTCACATCAGAGGAATGTAAATATGGGGAAAATTTTTTTAAAAGACTTTTCAAAACTTTTTCTAAAAAACAGGAGAAAGAAAGGAAAAGTAAGGTAAGTGATAGTAATAGATACTTTTATTCCATGGGAGGCCAGAAAGAGAGCTCTTAGAAAGGAAACCTAGTTGCCAAAGAACTCTGAGATGTTTCAAGTCTGTAAGGGGCAGGGGTAGCATGCTCTCTAAAAAGTTCTAGGGGGCGCTCCCTGGGGGCGCAGTGGGTTAAAGCACAGCACTAAAAAGCTTAAGCCACTTCCTCATGAGTTCATCCCCGCCTTCCCCGGAGGTGTCCACATGGTGCGGCAGATCTGTCCTGGCCCGACCGCTGCTCCCCTCAGCAGTGTACTTGTGGATCTGACTGTTCTGCCCCCCACTCTGTCTCTGGTGAAACCTCTCACCCTCTGCATCTCTGGCCTGTGTACCCAGTTCTGTATGAATAAATAAATAAATCTTAAAAAAAAAAATTTCTAGGTCTCCATGAACTGGGAGGAATGTCTGCTGCCCCAACTAAGCATTTAGTGCTTTTGGAAAGTATTAGTCTTGTTTCTTAGGAAGCTTATGGCCCCCCGCACACCCCACCAAAAGCCCTGAGGGGTTGGGGCAGTGGTTGGTGGCTGCTCATACTGTGTTTTGTTTTCCAGTTCGGCTGTAAAAATTCAGGCTGATCAGTCTGAAAGCTGGGGACAGCTACTCCAGTCACCGCAGATGTGTACACCAACCTTGCCCTTCAGGATCACAGAAACCAGATTCTACCAAAAGTCAGGAAAGATATTTCTTGGGGTTGAGTTTGCAGAAAAGGATTTGCTTTTAAACTTGGAGTATTTGTGACCAGGGAGAACTGGGTGGATTTAGAAATAGCCAACCCTCCTGGAGCAGCAGTGACTATAATGAAAATTGGCATCCTGAAATACAAATATTTGTTTGATGACTTAAGATTTGACCAAATGAAGTATGAGGTAGGTGGGAATTACCAGGAGGAACAGGTTAAAATAAAACTCAAAAGCTGAAGACAGGAATAGAAGATGATGGAGCAGTCAGAGAGGAGGCTAGAGGATCTGTGGACAATTGGGGTCTGAAAGGAGCCAAGACTAACACCTAGAAGGAGCCAAAACAACTACTGAAAGCATTTTGTTAAGCAACATGCTTAACAGCTGTCATGTCAGAAGAAGAGACCTGAGGCAGAGGAACTGGGTGAAATGATTAGAGATAAAAATGAAAAATTCCAGAGTTCAATATTGACATAGAACCCAAAGGACAGGCCCTCCTTGGTGTTGCAGTGGGTTAAAGCACAGCACTTCAAGCTAGCTGCGGCCACTTTAGTGCAAGTTCCATGCCCAGCTCTGGAGGTGATCCACGTAGCATGGCAGACCTCTCCTGACCCACGCACTGCTCCCCTCAGCAGTGTACTTGGTCAATCTGCCTCTTCTGCTCCCCTCTCTGTCTCTGGTAAATCCTCACACCGTGCGGATTTACCACGGTAAAAAAAAAAAAAAAAAACCTAAAGGACAACTTCTCTCTAGCAAAGAATGAGTTTTAAAAGTACTATGAAGACAAGGTGTGAATGCCAATATAAAATTTTAGCTAATAATCCTAATGATTACTACCAAGGACTCAATTCTTCTGACTCTAAGCTCTTTCTTGCAAAATCTCACTTAACTTTTCATTCACCTAATAAAAATGAACTGTTTTTATAAACATAGCCAGAGAACAATTTCATTCCATTTAACTAGTGGTATTATATAACCTACAAAAAGATTAATGAAGTTGGTGGTGGTAGTAGCAGAACTGCTTATCTATATGTATCAGGAGCTCTGTATCCTTTATAGACAGATT